TGGATGGATGGATGGATGGATGGATGGATGGATGGATGGATGGATGGTGTAACGACACTGTCAGGTGACTGATTGAGCTGCTGCAGGGACAGCTCTGTTGAGCAGAGTGCAGCAGGTAATTATTGGGAACACCTGAGTTGCTGGCTCAGCCCAGTATAAAGAGAGACGTGTTGTGTTGCTCGAGGAGGAGGACATTAGGCCTGTCCTGTCTCCTTGCTTGCTGGTCTTCCTTGGGTTATGATTTGTCTTGGTTATTCTGATTTGTTGTCCGAGTTTATTTAGTTTGGTTTTGGCTTGGTCAGTCTGGTTAATTCAACTTCTTTTTCTTTTTACAGGTTTGAGTTCTCCATCTGGTCATTAAAATTACATTTTACAATAAACACTTATAAAACCATATTTTGAGTCCTTTTCCCTCTTTTTTGTCGCAACCCCAGAGCCAGGTTGTGACAATGGATGGATGGATGGGATTTTAAAATGTGGACTCTTGTTTATTTCTTTAAACTGTATAGTGGACGACATTTTCTACTTCAGATGACAAAACTGTCCATAACATTTAAAAAATAATTTGGTAAAGAGAGGTAGATACTTATTTATTAACTAAATACCAATTTAGTAAACTGTGGACAACTCAACTGTTGATTTAAAACTTCATATTTTTTTTAACAATCACTCTTCACTTTTAGATAATTCACTAGAGAGGAAAGAACCTGAATGAATGTGAAGCTCTCAGCAGCACCTGCAGAGTCCGGGGGGCAGGGGGGTAGGTGAGCTGGGACAGGAGAAAACAGCTGAGCACAAAAAGTTGATTGGATCAAAACCACCCAGAGACGTAAAGAGAGAGAAGGGGCAGAGGTGTCTCTGTAATACAAACAGGAAAAGTTAATAAGACAGGTGAGCTCCTGAGGAACACGAGAAGGCTGCTGCTGTGGCTGCAGGAGAATTTGATCCCAGGACGCGTCGGAAACTCAAGCATCCTCCTGCACATCCAGTCTGGAATATAAAAGACAACGATCTGACAGCGCTGCAGAGTTTAATCTGCTGCTGCTTTGGGAGCTGGACTGAGAGGAGCGCACATCTATAAGGTGAGTCCCTCAGCTGCAGGGGAAGCCTCAGAACAGGTGGTTGGCTTTGTTCTCTGAATTTAGTTTCATTTTTTTAAACTAGTTGCAATTTGTTAAATGTTTTATACATTTACCGGGATTTAAAGCTGTTTCTTAACTTAATAATATAATTTTATGTGGCGATAATATAGTAAACTGTTGAAACAGAGTACAAGCAAAATAATATTAAATAAGAAATGTCAAGCGACTGAAACGCTTTGCTGATGTGAACTGATTTTTGTCCAATACTTCTACCACTGTGCATGAGAAAAAGAATGAAAACCAAATTTTAAAGCCCTGAAAGCTTTTTTTATAGGCAGATTCTGTAAAATTATACTCACTAAAAAATTAAAATAATATCATTATCATTTAATCTCTAATTTTTCTGGGCTCTACTAAAGTTATTAGAGTTGAGTTTTGCACAATATACTTGTTTTTAAACTAATTTAAAATGTGTTTTTACAATTTAGACATTAAATTGGCAAAAGTCTTTTAATGCAGGGGTTCCCAACTCTAGTCCTTGAGGAACACCATCCTGCATGTTTAGTTGTTTCTCTGCTCCGACACATCTGATTTTAATAAATGGGTGATTTACAGGCTTCTTCGGAACATGAGGAAGTAATTAAATCACCGAAACAGGTGTTTTGGGGCAGGGAAACAACTAAAACATGCAGATGGTGTTCCTCAAGGACCCTGGTTGGGAACCACTGTTTTAATAGACCGTTTGGTGGGAGGGGGGATCGTTCATTTTAAAACAAAACCCCATGTCATTGGACCTTGGTTTAATTTTCTAACTGTTACCATTATCAATCTGCAAAAATGTATTTTTTATGTTATGAAATATTATGTTGTGGCCCCTCCTATAAGTCCCCAAATAATTTCTCTACAGCCCCTAACAGCCAGTTACTCTCCACAGTTAGTTAAAGGGACAGAAATGCCCTCAGTGTGCTGCCAGGGGCAATCTGCTCAGAAAGTACAATAAATAGACTCCAACAAAATAATGTGTGTTCTTAGTTTGTAAAAGAATGTTGATGTATTTTTGTAGCTGTCATCATTTAAAGCATGAATCAAGCAATAAATAGAGTTTTAATGGGATTATTAATCTGTGGCCACAAGGAAAAGTCAGCGAGATGGAGATAGAAAGCAAACAGCGAAAGTCTGACGTGGCAAAGAGATTGTGTGTCTGAAAGAGAAAGTTTGTCTGAGTGTGTGTGTTAATAATTTAAAGAGGCTTTTCTTGTGCCTTACAGGACTGACATGTCACTCACCTCCATTCTATCAGCTGAGGCCGTTGAAAAAGCTGTCAAGGACTGTGAAGGTAAATCCAATTCTAAAAAAAATGCAACAAATAGGTTTGCCCTCATTAAATTTAAGCTTTCATTTTGAAAATTCACATCTACAATAATCTTCATCGACTCACGTTTTATTGCCTCAGCCCATCTTGAACACCCTGACAATCCCTCCTGTGTGTAATCTCCTTCACAGCTGCAATATTTTTAAAGCATCCTTCCTATGAAGTCACGTTTAGCTTCAAATCTGAGTTTAAAAAAGGTTTTTAATCATCGTATTAGTTCTAGTGGAGGCATGTGTCTGATGAATGTTTTAATCTCCGCCTCAACCTGGTGACCTTCAGGGTCCATCTCGCTGTCCTTCTGCTTTCCCACCTTTATATTCACGTATGTGTTTTACCAGCTCCAGACTCGTTCTGCCACAAGAAGTTCTTCCAGATGTGTGGCTTGTCCTCAAAGACCCCTCAGGAGGTCAGAGATGTCTTCCAGATCCTGGACGAGGACAAGAGCGGCTACATCGAGGAATCTGAGCTCAAGTGTGTAAAATGATACCCGGGTTGCTGCAAGGCAGCGATTTTAAAGATGAGTCATTAACCGCTCTCATAACCAACACTTTTCAAGGCTTTATTCTGATGTTTAAACAACGTACTGACAAATTAATCCTGTTACTGTAAGAACCACACAGTAGTATTGTATTCCTGGATTAGGCAGTGTTAATCCGTCAAGAGTAAAGTGCTATTGTTGTATATTTGTTATATAACTCAGTGTGTGATGAGAGCCTATGTTGACTTTATTGGTGTGTGTTTGTGTGTGTCTCTAGGTTCTTTCTGCAGCGGTTCATCCCTGGAGCTCGAACCCTGAGCGAAGCAGAAGCCAAGAAATTCATCTCATCAGCTGATGACAACAGTGATGGCAGAATTGGAGTAGATGGTGAGTATCTGATTCCTCCACAATGTGTGGGCATAAAATTACAGCGGAGATAGAGATGACCTCATCGCTTGGATTAAATCTCAGCTGATGGAATTGCAGAAAGAAAAAGGAACGCTGTGTTATCAAATAGGAACCTGCAAATTTAACGCAGATTAAAACACTTGTGAGGTTTTGGGGCAGGGGAAAAAATATCATCTTAGAAATGATGTGTTCAAATCATCAAAAGCATTCTTTGAGGGGTTTTGTAGTGCGGACAAAAGACAAAGTTTATCTTAAAGCAGGAGTCTCAGGGGCCAGTCTTGTTGAACATATTAGTAGAAATAACATTAAAAAAAACCAAATCAAACTAATTTAGTATTATATTATATTTATAGGGATAAATGTGTATTTTTTTAAGTCATATAGTACCTTATCAGCTGTGACATCAGTCATAAAGCAGAGTATGAAGACAGAGGCAAAACTCACCAGGATAGGCTAATGGAGGGCTGGTTTATTTATTTTATTTTATTTTATTTTTGTCTTAAGTGTTTTTCAAGCTTAAAAAAATTATCTTTTGAATACACCCATGAGAAAAAAAAGCACATGCATCCATCCCCTGGGAGTTGAGTGAACCTCTGAACTGTCCAGATGTGCAGCTCAGGCGGACTGATACATTCAGTAGCCTCATCACCAACACGTCTACCTGTGTCAGCACATGTGGCGCAGTAACACGTTTTGCAACAGTGTATAAGTGTTTATCAGCTAATGCAGTGTTGTTTCACACTCATGTGCCATTTTTGAGTAATAGTTGTTTCATAAGTCAGAAAAATGTTCAAAAATATAAATATGAGCCTTCGTTTGTCTAGCCTTTAGCTAGATTAAGACTTCTGTCATGTTTTCCTGTACTTTATGACTAATGTCTCGGCTGAAAAAGTACTATTTGACAAAGCATCACTTCAATAAAGACACTTTAATATAATCTATTTACTCTATTTTTCGAACTATAAGGTGCACTTAAAATCCTTTAATTTTCTCAAAAATCAACAGTGAGCCTTATAATCAGGTGCGCCTTATGCATTAATTCTGGTTGTGCTTACTGACCTGGAATCGATTGTATGTGTTTATTGTGAATGAGTTGAATAAAGTTTGACTTCTCTGACTGTTTTGTTTCTCTTAATGCACCTTATAAACTGGTGTGCCTTGTAGTCCGAAAAATATGGTATGTTTGGGATTTATTTGAGTCTTATTTAATGTGTTGTAAATATGCTCCTTCTAAATTATGGGATCATTAATGATGGAGACGTGGCTGCACAAAATGATCTGGACTGGCAGGACTTTTGTGTGTCTTCTTAATATTTAGGAGTTTGTATATTGGTGGAAAAAATTAGAAAACGGGAAGACAAATGTTTTGTTTATCATCTGAAATAATGTCCCACTCCAAGAGTCTCAAGTTGACCTGGAAAACTGAAGCTTTAAACAATATGACACTGACTGATCCCACTGTGGGCCAGAAGTGACCCACGAGCCACCAGTTGATGATCGCTGTTGTAGAGTCATGTATCTGCTGAGGAGTTGTATTTGGATTCATCTTAGCTTACATGTGCTTCATTGTAAATTACACATTTGTAGGAGAAAATGGTGTCTTTTTACATTATGTCTGTAAACTGAAAACTGTCCACACAATTCAGTTTATTTATAAAGAGCCAAATCACAACAGACGTCGTCTCAGGGCACTGAACAGAAACATTCTTATAAGAAAAGTAATCCAGTTAATAAACAGAGGAATTATACAGCTATAAAGTACTTCAGTAAAGTGTAGCTTATCTTATAGTTATAGAGGGTAAATCATGACAATGTTTTTATCATGTTTTACGTAATCTGTTATTTATTTTTGTAACTTTAGTCTAACAAGCATAGAAGTTAAATGCATGACATTTGAGGTTATTTGACTCATCTAATGTCCTCATACCAACAAAAACATGTGTCTTAAGAGTTTAGTCTGTTTGTTTTTCTGTTGGCTCTTTCTAGATGTGAGATATTTTCAGTAAATGATTCATGCTCAAGTGTCAATGCTTTTCTACTTCTGTCCAGAATTCCAGACGATGGTCCTGTCCTGAGTTTTACAAATGAACACGTCATTCCTCAGTGATTCCCCCCACGTCTGCAGTCCTCTGACGGTTGCTTCAATTCCCAAGACCTTGAGTTGCTTTATGATAAATTCTCTGTGTGATTATTGTTTTTTTGTTTTTTTTCTGATGATCTTATGCAGTTTTAACATTTTCTAATGTATCTTTTCGCCTGTTCCGTGGGTTTGTGCATGTTCCACCTCTGTCAATAAATGCGATAAATAAACATGTGGAAAACGAGCATGTGTAAGTTGAATTTTTATTTTAATCATACATTCATTCATTTTTCATATACTGACTACATGTGGTTCAAAATTACAGAGAGCCCAGTCACTGAGTATTTTTATTATCTGCTAACATGTAAACATCCATCCATCCATTATCTTTACCTGCTTCTTCCTTTGTGGGTCGCGGGGGTCACTGGTGCCCATGTCCAGCAATCATTGAGCAAGAGGCGGGGTACACTATGGACAGGTCTCTAGTCCATCACAGGGACACATAGAGACAAATGAGACAAACAGCCATTCACTCTCTCACTCACACCTAGGGACAATTTAGAGTTACCAATCAGCCTAACATGCATGTTTTTAGTCTGTGGGAGGAAACCGGAGTACGTGGCGAAAACCCACTCAGCACAGAGAGAACATGCAAACTCCACCCAGAAAGGACCCTAGCCAAGTTCTCAGATATCTTAAATTGTCTGCTTAACCTAACTGGATAATTTTCTAGAAGGCGTTTGCTTCTGTTTTAACACTTTCGTCTCCTAAGTGCTGCAAATTAGTACTGTAGTTTGTCACAAACATTGTGCCAGTGCTGAGGAGATCTGTTTGTTTAGTTTGTTTTCTCCTTCTTGTGGAACCAGTCTCAAATTATTAAATCTGAATCAATGAAAGAGGTTGGGTGCATCAAGGACAGGTCACCTGTCCATCACAGGGCCAACACAGGGACACACCTAATAAAAGTCAATGCAGTTTGGGGGGGGGGGGGGGGGGGGGGGGGGAGACACTGGTAATATAATATGGTTTCTGTTGTGTGTTATTGTAATTCTATTTATTGTGTTAGAGAAATGATTCAAGATAGAAGAAAGATTTTTATATTTCAGCTTTTATGTTTTTTTCTTCATATTTTGTTTTGCATTGAAATTAATGATTGTGACAGACATCCATAACAACATGTCTGTCTAGGAATAACAAAAAGTAAACGTTTGAGTGAAAAAATGAAAAGACCGAAAAACATGGCATTGTTACATCCATATATTACATTACTTCACTCACATTTTGCCCCCCAAAAAGTATGTATTTACTTATATTTGTGATAAGAATCAAAAGCGAAGTATGGTCATTTTTATTAAACTAAATATTTATTTAAAGTGAATAATTGTTATATTATTATTATTATTATTATTATTATTATATTATTATTATTATTATTATTATTATTATTATTATTATTATTATTATTATTATTATTGTTATTGTTATTATTATTATTATTATTATTATTATTATTATTATTATTATTATACGAGGAACAAGTAGGAACCTTCATCAGTTTAAGATCCCTTTTACCCGAACAATGAATCGTGTGACACCGCGCTGTCAAAAGCAGGAAGTCAAAATGTTAAGCTGTATAATTCGCGCGGCATCATCTTTCGTTGAGCAATTTTAACACTTTTAAGTTTGATAACATATTAACAGAAAGCAGCTGAACGTGTGTGTTTTCTACGTAAGGTGAGTGTCGTGTTTTTCTCTCTGATGTTTAATTTAAGTCTGTTGACGCTAATGGTAGAACTCAGCTAGCCGGCTAGGTGTTTTAACTGATTTGGTGTCAGCTGCTTTCAGGTTCAGCAGCAGTTAACGTGAATGGGTATCATTTAAATGTTTCAAGCCGACTACATTTCCCCCATGATTTAATCTTTTTTCTGATGTTTTAAATCGTCGGGGGATTTTTCCTCTCAGGGCTGGAGCTCAACTCGCGAGACTTCACCGGCTCAGTCGTGAAGTTTCCGAGTTCAAATGTGTGCCCAATAACATGTAAATAACATAATAATAATTTAAAAGATATAAGCAATCATTCAAAGTTCTTGAAGATGGGTTCAACGATTTTAAACACAAAAATAAATTAGTATACTTTATTTTAAAATGTGAATTAATCAACTAGCCTCCAACTTGAGGTTCAGTTTTTTAAACTGAATCTTTTGAATAATTAGATACAAATGCTGAATATGTTTCACAATCTGATCTATATCCATACTTACATTGACTAGACTGTCAAAGACAACATTAATCAATTCTACCTAATCAAAAGAACTACGTAAACCCTTTAAAATTTGCTGAATTTCTGTACTTATGTCTAATAATCCATTTGAGTTTTATTGAAACTACTGCAAAAAGCTAAAGTAAACGTTGAAACTAATGTGGTATTTTGCACTTTTAAGGATGTACAAAATACAAGCAACTGCATAGTATTTTTCACTCAAAAGTTGACTTTAACGGCTCTTTTAAACTATTAATTGCCAAGTTTTGACATACCTGGTATAATAGTATTCAACCAGTTTGATCACATCAAACACATGGTCCTCTGAGCTCATTTAATAATGAACACTTGGTTTAATGAACTTGTTAGCCTTCTGTGACACCACTGTATTTGGCAGCTTCAATCAATTTCGAAGTCAGTGACTTAATGTTTCATTTTACTGATAGGATAAAACTTTATTTTCTATCGCAGTTGTGGCAGAAATTCTCCTTTGACATGCTCTACATTCATCAAACACACACAAGAACCAACAATAGAACATAATAATAAAAAAATATATATACAAGTTGTATTCCCTTCAGATGGCATTCAGATATGACTTTGTCATCAAGAGCTTTGTGGTACTGATTTAGTCAGATTATGCTTGTTTATAATTGTTGTCTTTAATAAAGATTAGACATCAACTCATGAGAGGTCAGTGAAGTTCATGACCTTCAAAAAACTGTTCTAAGAGATAAAAGTATATGGTTTATATACTGATATGTTATTGTCAAGGTGCTCAAGCCTTTGAACCTTCATGCTGAAATATAGTTGAGGCAGTTTGTCACAATAAATGATTATCTCTGTATTTATCTGTCTGCATTTTGTGATACTATATCTGTATATTGTGCAGGTACACGGCATGCTAACCAGACTACCCCTTGAACAGAGTAAATCCAGACACGAGTTCCACTAATGCTCATGATTAGGTAAGAGTGAGTCAAGGCTGACATTGACATGACCTGAATGAGACAGGTAGTTTTTCTGTTTATTTACTTTATCAATTGTCTTGTTTCCAGTCCCAAAATGGCATCAGGGGTGCAAGAAAAACAGTACACACCATGTCTACAAAATTTTTTCATTTATAACCCTACATTTGGACCCCGGGAAGGAGAAGTGAGCTCAACCTTACTTTTCTACCTTCTTATACACTTTAATGTGCCACCATTTCTAGCTTGTCTAGAAAGCCTTTTCATGATTTATTTAGAATGCTAATTCAAATATGTATTTATTTATTTCTCAGGAAGAGAAAAAGATTTTGTTTTACCACCCATGTGAGGTTGAGAAGAATGAGAAGATTCGAAATGTGGGTCTTTGTGAAGCTATTGTACAGTTCACCAGGTACAACAAAGCTGCACTGATGATCCTTTGCGTTTTTTTGCACATCTAATTAGGTGCATTGCTTTCTTTGATTAGACTAAAAAAAGAGAATAATGTGACAGAATATGGAAATGCTTCAAGATAAACACTGAAGCAGAACAAACTGTAAGAACCTTTTCAAAAAGATGAGCGGATCATCTTGTTTGTGCACATCCTCTGTCTTTACAACTTTGTTTTTCTTTGTTTTAGGACGTTCTGTCCAACAAAACCAGCAAAATCTCTGCACACACAGAAAAACCGGCAGTTTTTCTTTGAGCCTGAGGAAAATTTCTGGATAGTCATGGTACAGACATATTTCACAGTGTTTGTCCACAGGTCTGTCATTGTAATATTTAACATCACATGTTTTTTTTTCCTTGTGTTTCTTGTACTCTACAGGTGGTTCGAAACCCAATTATTGAGAAGCCAAGCAAAGATGGTAAGCCTCCCACGACAGAGTATCAGGAAGAGGAAATGCTTGTGAGTACGGAGAAATATGTGTAGATTTATTCAATAAGAAGATTGTCAGTTTTATAAACTATAACAATCCTGCCTTTGTAGGACACTGTTTACGGGGCCGTGGTCAGGCAGTGCTACAGCATGTACAAGGTGAGCTTAAAGTCAGTCATGAAGTTCCGACTTCCTTTTCTTAAAGTTAAGGTTCAGCCAAATTGAAGTGGTTCTGTGGGAAATTTATGAACAGTTAATAACTTACCTGTTGCAGATAAGTCTTTGAAAAATCTCAGCTTGGAAAAACGGAGTATGTATCTGACAGGACTGATGAGCTAATGGCTAGTCTGGATTAATCAGTCAGCTTTGTTTATACCTATAGGCAGATTCTGTTTACAGTGAAATGAGTCGGCTTTCTTTCCAGAACCAAGATATACGACGTAAATATTCAGTAGATGCAAACATGATTAAAAGTGACCAGATGCTCAATATTTTAAGATAAACAAAAACTCACCCAACTTAAAAACATCAAAATATCAAGTTTAGAAAGAGACGAGATAAAATCATAAAATGATAGAAGAATAATGTTAAAGCTGCTAAATCGAATTTAAGACAATTAATGCAGCAGGTCCGCGACCCAAAAGGAAGAAGCAGGCAAAGATAATGGATGGATAGGTGGTAGAGGATTACATTTTTTCAGGAGTCCTGGGGGTCACGGGATTCCCGCAGGATTCCCGCAGGACAGGAGTCAACTTTAATATAACTCACAGAATTGGGATAGGACAGGGCGAAAAGTTAACAGGACCAGACAGGAGTGGGAACCAACCAATAGGACGAAAAAGAAAATGGAAAAAAAAAAAAAACTTTGGACAGGCGCTGCTTTTTTGTAGTTTTCTTTCAATAAGCCTTCACTCTGGAACACCAGACCTGCAATGCTCCAATGATGCTCTGAAGTCTGGTTCAGTGCCTTGCGAAATTATTCGGCCCCCATGAACTTTTCAACCTTTTGCCACATTTCAGGCTTCAAACATAAAGATATAAAATTTTAATTTTTTGTGAAGAATCAACAACAAGTGGGACACAATCGTGAAGTGGAATGAAATTTATTGGATGTGTCAAACTTTTTTAACAAATAAAAAACTGAAAAGTTTTTCAAACTCACTCCAGAAGTTCAGTGAGGATCTATGAATGATCCAATGTTGTCCCAAATGACTGATGATGATAAATAGAAATCCACCTGTGTGTAATCAAGTCTCTCTAAGTGCACCTGCTCTGTGATAGTCTCAGGGATCTGTTCAAAGCGCAGAGAGCATCATGAAGACCAAGGAACACCAGGCAGGTCCGAGATACTGTTGTGGAGAAGTTTAAAGCTGGATTTGGATACAAAAAGATTTCCCAAGCTTTAAACATCCCAAGGAGCACTGTGCAAGGAATCATATTGAAATGGAAGGAGTATCAGACCACTGCAAATCTACCAAGACCCGGCCGTCCCTCTAAACTTTCATCTGGAACAAGGAGAAGACTGATCAGAGATGCAGCCAAGAGGCCCATGATCACTCTGGATGAACTGCAGAGATCTACAGCTGAGGTGGGAGAGTCTGTCCATAGGACAGCAATCAGTCGTACACTGCTCAAATCTGGCCTTTATGGAAGAGTGGCAAGAAGAAAGCCATTTCTCAAAGATATCCATAAAAAGTGTTGTTTAAAGTTTGACACAAGCACCTGGGAGACACCAAACATGTGGAAGAAGGTGCTCTGGTCAGATGAAACCAAAATCAAACTGTTTGGCCACAATGCAAAACGATATGTTTGGTGTAAAAGCAACACAGCTCATCACCCTGAACACACCATCCCCACTGTCAAACATGGTGGTGGCAGCATCATGGTTTGGGCCTGCTTTTCGTCAGCAGGGACAGGGAAGATGGTCAGAATTGATGGGAAGATGGATGGGGCCATCCAACCTCACTGAGCTTGAGCTGTTTTGCAAAGAAGAATGGGCAAGAATTTCAGTGTCTCCCTGTGCAAAACTGATAGAGACAAACCCCAAGAGACTTGCAGCTGGAACTGCAGCAAAAGGCGGCGCTACAAAGTATTAACGCAAAGGGCCGAATAATATTGCACGCCCCACTTTTCAGTTTTTTATTTGTTAAAAAAGTTTGACACATCCAATAAAATTCATTCCACTTCACGATTGTGTCCCACTTGTTGTTGATTCTTCACAAAAAATTAAAGTTTTATATTTTTATGTTTGAAGCCTGAAATGTGGCAAAAGGTTGAAAAGTTCAAGGGAGAGAATACTTTCACAAGGCACTGTAAGCTGCACGACATCCTGCTTCGCCGAAATGAGCTCATTACCTCAACCACAAAGATTATGAACTTCTTGAGGACGTTGTCCAATGTATAATAATGTCTTTAAGCATTTTTATTAATTGCGTTCTCTTCCTTGGTACATTTATTTTTTAAAGCAATTTGAAACATGACAGTAATGTCACTGCTTAAAGGGAACAGTTGCTCATTAAGTTAGTAAAATACAACTTTATATGTTCTGTTTGGATTCATTGAGTGACCCATGTACTGTTGTTTTTTTATGTTTTGTTTCTACTGTAATTGACATCCAAAAGAGCTAAAAAAAACTACAGGAACCACACATTTCACACAATTCCCATTTTCATATTAAGAAACTGCTCCAGATGACATGATTTAACCATTTTTGTTGTAATCTACCTGGATTATTGAGTTTACAAACCCTTTTTTTATAGGGACTACATGCCATGTATTATTTTTTTGTGACCTTTTTTTGTTTGGATTAAGACAATAAATGTGTATTTCACTACAGATGAACTGTTCCTGTTGCCATATCATTTGAAATAAAACTGCATAACACAAAATAATTAAAAAATGAATGGGTAGAAGATCCAATCAAATTCAATATATTTCCTAAAGACTAAATGGAAAAGAAAAAAAATGGGAGCGGTACAGGAGTGGGAGTCTTCCTGAATAGAAGCAGGAGTCATGTTACCAGGATTGGGACAGGACAGGATTTTTTTCTGTGGGACCAGTACAGGACAGGAGTAAAAATCCACTCCCATGTCATCCTCGGCTGGATGGATGGAAGGATCGATCGCTCATAGCAAGAACAAAGCTGGTTTTAAATTGCTTAGTTTTACATTTTGCCACCAAATATCTGCATCCTGACCGGAGGGGTCTGAACTCGCAGTGCAGAGGATGAGACCCGTCTTTTAAAATGGATCCAGATATCCTCTGTACCTGCCTGGAGTACAGGGGTTCTGCATTTAGTTGCAGCTCTCCTGTCAGCTTACTGGACCGCTTCACTATTTGGTTCAGACAGTTCTTATTTTTGAGAGAAAGATTGCTGGACTAGTACTGTACACTAAGCAGAAAGATGAAACCCATTCAATAAAACAGAGTCAGCAGAGTTTTGTCCATGTAAAAGGATGACCGTTATCTGAGGCGAAACAGGCGCTGGATCCTTTTTTATAAACGGCTTCACAGTTTGCCTCGAAGGTCAGCTTACTGTCAATAACTATACCAAGATATTTGTATGTGTCGACACATTCCACTGTCTGACCTTTTATAAAAGTAATTTCCTGTGCCTGAGGGTGTTTCCTAAAATCAATAAACATGTCCTTAGTTTTTTGAATATTCATCTGCAAAAAGGATTCATCACCCCACTGAAGAAAGTCCTCAACCACAGGGCTGTGGCATGTTTCACTTTCATTAAGCAGACTAACCATGACTGAGTCATCTGCATACTTAAAAATAAGTCTGCCATTCCTGCTGCTCCGACACGTTTGTGTAGAAGATGAACAAGAGAGGTGACAACACATCCCTGTGTGGAGCTGGTGGAGGAACAGACCTGACCAGACAGAGAGCCATCACTCACTCTCTGTGCCATGCTCCTTCAAAAAGGCTCAAATCCAGCCCACATTATTAAAGCCTACATTAATCTGTTCTAAAAACCTCTCCACTAAAATGTGAGGTCGATAGGTGTTAAAAGATGAAAAATCGATTAATAAAAGCCGTGCATGTGTTCCCTTTCCGTCCAGATGTTTAAAAAGCAGGTTCGTTAAAGCGACTGGTGTCTTCGACTCCTCTGTATGGTCTATAAGCAAACTTTAAAGGATCCAGGTCATTCTCTGGTTTCTTTAATATTTCAGACTTGACCAGTTTTTTTTTAGTTTTAATCAGAATGGACGTCAATGCAGTGGGTCTAAAATCATTTAGGGCTTTTAGGGCAGTTTGTTTTGGGGACAGGGACTAAGCGCAGCATCTTTCAAACATTTTGGGACATGCAAGTACCTGCTAAAAATCTGATAAGATTGTAAATAACCATGAAATGAAACTTTAGAGGTTTGCTGTTTTTAGACGGCAACTTTTGTCTCGACTGCATTTTTTCCACTAGCCGTTAGCTCGTCAGTCCTGTTCAACCTGTTTCTCCAAACTCAATCAAAAAGCTATCTGCAGCAGGTAAGATACTTAAAAATGGCTCAACTCTTCCTTTAAATCGAAACAACAGCATCTTTACTGTACCTCACATTAACGCTTAAATGTTATTAAAACATGGTGATGTAATTGTTCATTTGTCTCGTCTTGCAGCTCTTCAACGGCACATTTAGTCGAGCGATGGAAGCCGGAGGCGTCGAACTGCTCATCCAAAAGCTTGAAAAGTTTTTCTACAGGGTAAAATGCCAAAATGCACTCATTTGATGCTAGGTGGATATTTGTTTTGGTTTGTTTGGAGGATTTTTGTCATCCACACCATCTTCAGCAAACGGAGTGTGTCGATTTACTTTAATATCACTCACACGGTTGTTTTCTAAAAGTCACCAGAGCCTGACGGTTTGTGTTTTTAAAAGGCCTGGGCGCTGGCAAACTAGGTGTTTGCAGTCATGCCTGATTTCTGCGTCGTGTCTCGTTTATCTTGAACAGCAGAACTCTCGCTCCTATAAAAGTTTTAAACATTTCACTTGTGGTTAGGGAACACCTTTCTCTACCTGACGCAGGCTTCCCTCCCTACCAGGTAACCTAAACCCATCAGAGGCTCAATTTCAGTGTTTCTTGTCCACTTGGTGATGCAAGCATCTCTTCATCACGTCACCCAGAGTTTCTTATTCCGCCGTCTTTACTGAATCGTAAACCAGCACTTCTAAGCTGGTAAACTAACCCGTCTCCTTCTCCCGCTGTCTTTGTGTGCACAGTATCTGCAGACCCTCCACCTGCAGTCATGCGACCTGCTGGATGTTTTCGGAGGCATCAGCTTCTTCCCTCTGGACAAGATGACCTACCTGAAGATTCAGTCTTTTGTAAACAGAGTGGAGGAGAGCCTCAGCCTGATCAAATACACAGCCTTCCTCTACAATGACCAGCTCATATGGTACAGCCTGAACACTCGTCCAGCTAATCCACTCTCTGTCAAAACTGACTCCCACAGCCTTAACAACCGCATTACATGTTTGCAACCAGTACAATCTTAGTGTTAGTGTGTGCAAACACACAGCTGTTTATTCATAAACAGAGGTGGTGGCAAACCATTTCTACTCCTGCTTGTGGTTTAGGTTTTACCTGAAGTCTCACACATTGTCAGCCGTCTGGATCAGTTTGTACAAACACGCCTGCTAACTACTTATGATTGTAAACCAGGGCAACTCAGAAGAAATGTAAATTGCGGAGAATTTTATTTTATTTTTTAAGTTTTTACATTCAAGTTGCAAAGTTGAAATTGAAGTTGAAATGTTGAGAAACAAGTTGAAATGTTAAAAAAAGTGGGTGCACTTTTATTGGAATAACCATTCAATTCAGTTTATTTATATAGCGCTAATTCACAACAAAGATGTCTCAGGACACAGAAAAGAAACATTCACATACATTGAAAAGCCAGTTAGTAAAGTTCCCTATTTAAGGAAGCAGCAGACTCGTTGAATCTTCACTTCGTTGCAGTCTCCCATCCTGAGCAAGCACAGTGGCAACAGTGGAAAGGAAAAACTCCCTTTTTAACAGGAAGAAACCTCCAGCAGAACCAGACTCAGGACAAGCGGCCATCTGCTTTGACCGGCTGGTTGAGAGGACAGGAAGGAGAGACGGATGAACACAGGATGGCAGGTCCAGATGTTGGTGCAAGTGTACCTGAAAAACAAAAAAAAACATGTTAAGGATAGAAAAAATAATTACAAATACTTGACAGGTTGAGCAGAGTAAGTAAAGACAGTAGCAGAGTGAAGAAATGTGCTTAGCAGTCTAAGCCTATAGCAGCATAACTAAGGGATAGCTCAGGAAACCCAAGCCAACCCTAACCATAGGATTGATCAAAAAGGAAAGTCTTAAGCCCAGTTTTAAAACTGGACAATGTGTCAGCCTCACGGACAGAAACTGGAAGTTGGTTCCACAAGAGAGGAGCCTGATAACTGGAAGTTCAGCCTCCCATTCTGTTTTTGGAAACTCTAGGAACTGTAAGTAAACCTGCAGTCTGAGAGTGAAGTGCTCCGTTAGGAAAATATGGAGCAATAATATCTGTAATATAAGATGGAGCTAGGATGTTGAGAGTTTTGTAGGTTAGAAGTAAGATTTTGAATTCAATTCTGAATTTGACATGGAGCCAATGGAGAGAAACTAAAACTGGAGAGAAATGATCTCTTCTACTAACTCCAGTTAAGACTCTGGCAGCAGCATTTTGGATCAACTGAAGACTTTTTAAACTACAAAATAGTATGCAATAATTTACTTTTAACAGTTCCTATTTGTGGTTTATTATTCCTGCTGCAGCAGAACTCACAGAAATTGTTTCAGTCTTTCACAATAAGAGCCTCAAACATGCTAACCTTCAAAAATTCCCTTTTAAAAATCTGAAGCTGAAAACGGATACTGCAGCCTAGACCACCAGGGTTTGTTTTTAATTTTTATGCATTTTTAGTCAACAGGCAACAGCAGTGCATTTTATGTCTTCTTATTTGTTTGTTTCCACAGCTGTATATTCATTTACACATAAATTCATAGAAATAGTTCACAGAACACATTCAGATGCCAAACAACAAAGCTTGGCAAAGACAGCGAGTAGCAGAGGTGGAAAAATCTACATATCCACTCTGCAGTCCCACATTAAGCATCATTAAACACGTGCGGCCTCTCGTTCTTCATGGGGTAACACTTGATGTGCGTGTGCAGGCAAAGTGAGCTGTTGGAGCAGATTGTGTTTCACACTGTGTTAGTAGCGGTATCATGGGTTTCTGTAGCTTCAGTGACTTTGTGATTTGCTCTATCAAATAAAAGTCCCACACTTTTTGTTTCCACATATGTGAGCGCCCTGGTTCCAGTCATTTAATGGTTACACATAATTTCAGTGCTGCAGTGTGTAAAATGTTCAAAAGATTTTTATGTAAATTTATAACTTATTTTGTGGTGAATGGTAAATGGACTGTACTTGTATAGTGCCTTTCTATCTTATCAAGATACTCAAAGCACTTTACACTACAATCTGTGCCTCATTTACACATTCATACAGCACTCTACTAGATCTACACAAAGACTAATCAGAGCTTTATCACATTCATACACTGATGGGACACACATCGGAGGCAATGAGGGGTTCAGTGTCTTGCCCAGGGACACTTGGGCATGTGACTGCTGGTGGAATTGAACCCCCAACTCTTGCATTTGTGGACAACATCTCTAACCACTCAGCCACAGCCGCCCCACCTATATACACCTGTAGGTTTTTGTGGGACATGGTCCCATGTTGCAGAGTGAAGAGGGATCTTGGAAACATCCTCCGCCAATCTGTCCATTTCATGGATAACTTAAAAAATAAGCAACATGCCGACTTCCATTTTGGTTGAGTTCCTGCATCAGTAAAATGTAGGAAGCAAAGTTTCCTCAAATGATTAGAGCGACCAAAGATTAATCTATAGTGGTCAAAGCCAACACTGGCAACCCCCTGGCTCCTCCATTGACCCTGGTGGTGGATGAAATTGCTCCCCCCACCCACCGGGATCCGTCGCTACTCTGCGCTGCCTCGGACAAGTAAAAATAAAACACTTATGTAGTGAAACTATTACCCAAGCACCAAAAACATTTAGGTTTACTCGCATTCCTTTTTCACTTCCGGACCAGAAAAACACTCATCTTGAAAATGACATTCACTTTTCAAATCCTTCTGCGGTTTAATATGTAAACTTTGTCGACATCATTCTTCCTAGTAATTGACAAATTATGTTCTGTAATTTGCTGTTACAGTATTTTCTTATCTGTACTTCCTGTTTGTGTGTCTAATAGGAACCGTTCAGTTGGATGGATTCATTCGTTTTCACCAGTTCGTGTGTGCAGTCAAAAAGACATCAGTTGTAGATATTTGTAAAAAAAAAATTTGATTAGAATGGGATTAATTTTTTAAAACTTGATCGTGATGAGATTTGCATTTGTAAACTGGATTGTTATTTTTATTGGTCCAGAGTGTCTTTTCTTTTACATGAGAATTTAGAAAAGGGAATGTTATCAGAGGGCTCTTGCTCGTCTCTATATTAAACCAGAAGGAATTTTGAGGATATTTTTAAAATTAATCCTCAGTGCTTGTATTTTAGACTTATTGAAAAGAATCGAAATAAGTTGTTGTGGAAAAAAGGAGATTCCCAGAACAGACCAAGGTGTAGTTCATCAGTTTTATTTGCAAAGCTTTGGAGAGCAGTCCAAACATTCACAGAACATGCAATTACAAGATAACACTGTTATCAGTGCTCTCACCCTGACCTGCTCTAACTCTCTGGACCGGACAAGTTCGTTTTATAGAATGACCTCCAGCCCAGGCCTCAGTTCCTCCCCTCCGTGTCCGAGCCGTCATCAAAAGGTCCGCTTGTAGAAAGGAAGGAGCAGATCTGAGTCAAGGCCTCTGCCTGAGACGCGTCACCAGATCATATCGACTCTATCATATCCATGTCTGTAATATTCTGTCATATTCAGTGATCAGTCAACAAGCAGGAAAATATGACAGCCTTTTTATTATCTAGTGTTTGTGGTGCTGCAGCCACAGAACATCAGTTATAACTCGCAGAGAACATTTGTAACATCTAACCAGAAGATCGCGGCTGGAATAATGAAGAAACTGGACCTTTTGTTGTCATCTGATCACATCTTTTTGTGGAATTTGTAAGATGTGATTTTTTTGTCTTTGTGGTTGTGTGTGCAGGAGTGGGCTGGAGCAAGACGACATGAGGATCCTGTACAAGTATCTGACCACCTCGCTGTTCCCCAGGCATTCAGAACCAGAGGTGTGTGCGGGGTGGAATTAAGAGGCATCGCCGAATAAAACTAAGAGAAACGGATTAGTCGTTAGAAACGGGCTACGTGTGTATTTATACTACTATTCCTACTTTGTGGTTTTTCTCTTATCGGGGGGGGGGGGGGGGGGGGCTGAGAACAGCAACCTCCACGATAATCAAGGGACTGTATAACTTAAATAAACTTGGAGGATAAAAGAAACCGTATATACATGTATTTGTATAGACAGCTTTTTTTAAACTACCACCATGTGACATGCTACTAGTAGTCATGGTGTGTTTATGAGTTCATCAGAGACCGCCTGGGGGAAGAAACGGTCTCTGTGGTGGTGTTGTTTTTGTAAATATAGCGCTCTGTAGCACCAACCTGAAGGTAAAAGTTTGTGTCCAGAATGTGTGGGGTCTGCAGAGATGTTACCAGCCCTATTCCTGACTTTAACTCTGGACAAGTCCTGGATCGAGGGACTGTTAGCCCCGATGATCTTCTCTGCAGACCTGATTGTTCATTGCGGTCTGGACTTGTCCTGTTTTGTGGATGAGCCAAACCACACAGTAATGGAAGTACGCAAAACAGATTGAATAATGGCTGTGTAGAAGATGACCAGCTGCTCTTGTTATAGGTTGTACTTGAGTTGCTGCAGGAATTAAAGTCCCCTTTTCCTTCCTCCGAACTGTGTCTCTATGTGAGGACCGTCTCAGGCCCTGAGACAGTGTGCGAACTGTGTCTCTATGTGAGGACCGTCTCAGGCCCTGAGACAGTGTGCTTCCTAGGAACTGGAAGTGATCCACACAGTTCGACACATGGTCAGATTAAACCTTATTTGTATTTATTTATTCTGCTGTATTTTCTCTTGGTTTCATCTCGTCCCAGTTGGCCGGCAGGGACTCTCCTCTGAAGCCAGAAGTTGCAGGAAATTTGTTGCACTATGGAAGGTAAATCCCTGATCCTATCTGCATGCACACCCTTTATTTAATCTTGCTCTTTGCAGATGGGCAGTTTGTAAAAAAAAAAAAATTCTGAACCAGCATGTCCCAAACACGTCAGGAACTACCAATATGTTCAGGATGTGCAGATTTTTGTTTATTTGGGTGCATTTTGTGTTACTGAATCACTGATAGTGCATCTTAACTAAAGAAATTACTGTTTTCTGTGTAATAGGTGACCTATTGTGACAGGAAAAACAGGATTTAATATGAAAATGACTTTTGGAAGACAAAATGATTGATAAATTAAGTTATAGAGGGCTGGAAATAGCTTTGAGAAATACAGACTCTTGAAAAGAGGTCTTTATTTCTTAAAATGTGTCCAGAGGAGTAAAAAAATGGCAGCAGCTTGTTGGACGAGTGATGAGGAAAGGATGCACAGGTGTTTCTCTGTCTAAGGTCTTTTCTTCATGTGTAAGGTGAAAAAGAAGGGCATGATATGTCAATCACAGATTATTAGTCGAATAAAAACATACACACGTGTTGTAAAGAAAAAAATTAAAATAAAACACTCAATTTTACAAAACTAGAAAGAAATTCAGAGGCTGTGAAAAAACTGCAGCTGTCACGCCTCATTTTGAATTTGCAAAGATTTAAAATAGTCACAAAAAACCAATGTCTCCCTTTGTTAAACGGACTTCTCATTTTCCTAATGTGAATAAATATTGCTATATAAAATTGGAGTACTTGGTGATTAGTTTGGTAAATGTTTGCTTCACTCCCCACACAACAATTTGATTATAATCAGAATTTTTTTCTATAAATCCACAAATTACTAATATAAACATTTATGATTGTTCTAAATTTTCTTTTTTCTCTGTTGCTGTAAAGTGAATGTCCTGCTTGCATTTAATTAATTAACCTTAGACCTTTTTTTCAGGGAGACTGTTTATTAAACTGCATCTGTTACCTGAGAAACTAATCAACAGATTGATTTCAAAATGGAAAAATAACTCCACTTGTAGCACCTGCTTAAATTTAGCTTAATTAAATATGAATCCCCTTCTTTTAGTAGCTGGCCAGAAAGAAAAAGCTAAATTATTGTAAATGCATGTCATATGACATACTAGGTTTTTTAATATATAAATGGGGCAGAGGTTGTTGTTACAGGAAAAACGTACTTTTAAATTTAATTTCACGGATTTGGGAAATTTATCTGAATGAAGTGCTGCTTGTCAGAAACTTTGTTTTTCATTTTCAATACTCCCAATCAGTTACAGAGCTAAATTTCAATATATATTATATATTTATCAATTGTTGGTGCTTTTCTACCCCTGAAGCACAACTTTAATCTGTCCTGAGAGTTTCCATGACTCGGATAAAATGGCAAATCTGGAGAAAATTACAATCTGACAAACATCCGTCCATCGTTTGTTCTTTACCTGCCTTTTCTTTCAGGGTCGCAGGGGCTGCTGGAGCCTGTCTCCATCAGTCACTGTGTGGGGTACACCCCTCAACATGTTGCAAGTCCATCACAGTGCGATCTGACTAACATGTCAAATTTATTTATTCATTTTTTTGTTAAAATACTGATGGAGGTTGGCCCTCAGACACAGATTATTTTGTTTTCTTGTGAAAATTAGTTTTGCACCTATTCATTTTTATTTCTTAGCTTTTCTACTAGCTTTTTACTAGATTCTTTATATAACAGTAAACAAACAAATGATTACCCTGTTTCCCTTAGTCTGTGAATATTGTCCCAGCTATTACTTTTTTTTTTCCCCAGGTTTTTAACCGGACCTACGAACCTCAAAGATCCAGAGGCTAAATTCAGATTCCCCAAAATATTTGTCTTCGCAGGAGACGGCTACGAGGAGCTGCATCTTATTGTTTACAAGGTGTGTCGGATTAAATGTGTTTTTGATGTGTGTATGTGCTCAGTGGAAACGTGGAGGAGCTGCTCATTTTCAGGATGGGTCTCGTAATCTGCGAGGGGAGGATTTGCGTTCTCGTTTATTATTGCTGGATTAAATATTCCCGGACGTTAAGGATTAGACAGCTCAATTTTAAAATGAGGAATATCCCACAATACAGATCATCACGTTAATGTGATTTCTGACCTGTGTGGCCCTGATTCTGTTTGTAACCCGCACTGATCTGCTGTTTTTACAGGCTATGAGCGCTGCTGCCTGTTTTATGATCAGTGGTAAGTGTAGTTCTCTTGCCACAGCTTTTTTTTTTTTTTTTCATTTTAATATAGTATTTTGGCTGGTCATGAAAAGTAACCATGTTATATTTTCTCCCCTGTTGCCTTCAAATAGTTAACTTTCTACTCTTATGTTTTATTCCAGCTTCTGTAGAGCTGACGAGGGAGTTCTGCGAGCAGCTGGACAGCTTGGTGGGCCCTCAGCTCACACTGCTGGCATCGGACATTTGTGAACAGTTCACCATTAACCGCAGGATATCTGGGTTAGTCATCAATCTACCATTTTCTGAACTTGTCACCCTTCAATAAAATTTAAAGCGAGTGCTATAAAAGCCCTGGTTCGTGCTGTGCAGCTGATCCACAGTTTGTTCCAGTGACTTTGTTTGAACACAGCACTCCATGAGTTACTGTACATTTAATCTTAAGATTTGTAACAAGTGTTTTAGTATTTTCCTCTTTAGTTTGGATATTTTGGCTCAGGAAGTCGATGATTAAAAACCAAAAAAAGATGTTTGGAGAGTGTGTCCAAAATGTTTATTAATATATACAAAATTATATATATATTTTTTTTTTTTTGTTCTAATTTGTGACTACCGGTACTCTTATACCTTTTGTCTCCAAATAGCCTGTATCAGTGGTTCCCAAACATTTCAGCTTCTGACCCACAAAATAAAAGTTGTGGTCATATCTGACAATGAATTATTCAATCTTTGCTAATTATCCCATTCAACAAAGGCATTATCACTTCACAAAGCAGCCTTACAAACTTTATCACTGACTTTATTATTTATGACTCTTTAATTATTGGTTACAGTTATGTAGATACTTTGTCATCAGCAATCATTTAACTTAATTTGATTTCTAGAGATTATCTGAGGACCTCAGATTTGGTGTTTTATGACTAACAGAGGGGTCCAAAGCCCAATTTTGGGAACCACTGGTCTATATGGTACTACTTGTTTGTTGTGGCAGCAACTAATGACTGACTAATATTTTTTTTTTTTTGTATGAAGTACTCTTCAACTTGTTCTGGTGCATGTTCAATAATCAAGGTAGATAAAGCTTAGGGTGCATTCACACCATCCCTGTTAAGTCCGCTTTAATCGAACTCTAGTTCATTTGCCTGGAAAGTCCGACTCATTTGGGTAAGTGTGAATGCACAATCGAACTCTGATGCAGACCAAAAAAACGAACTCTGGTCTGCCTAAAAAACTAGGTTTTGGTTCAGTTGAAGTGAACTCTGGTGCGGTTTGAATGCAGTGTGAATGCAAGCGGACCGGAGACCGCTCCAAAAGCAGGAAGTGGACTACAGCGCAGGGCATTCTGTGTAAATACAACCAAAACAAACGCGCATTCTCTTACCTTATACGGAGCCGTCAGTCGACTTGTGTGGAAAAACAACATTCTCCATGGTCTTCTGCCTCATCTTCCGCTCATGCCGAGTCCATTGTTGGAAAAAAAATAATTGGGGCACATGAGCCACAGACAAAACAGATATCATAAAACTGCTCAAATTTGACCCTACTCCATTTTTGTTTTTTATCAGTGAAATTGCATTTCAGTACAGACTGTCAGAGAGAAACAAACAAACAAGTGGGAGTGGTGGCGCAGAGGTTATAAAATGGGCTTGTGATCAGAAAGTCGCAGGTTCACCTCCCAGTACCGTCATCCGGTACCGTCAACATCAAAATGTGGGTGGAAAAGGTGAAACACCCACACCACCCTCATTCGCCCCACTCTGGGCCCCTGAGCAAGGCCCTTAACCCCCACTATCTGCTCCCTAAACAGGTCTCTCTTGAAAATGAGTTCTCGTGGCTCAATGAGACTACCTGTATAAATAAAGGGTAAATGAAAACATGGGGAGATGGAGGTGAATGAGGCCGCCGGCCTCGAGAAGTGCATCCTTTCTTTCAGATAAGGTAAAGAAACACGATAGGAAGTGGAGGTGTAAAAAAATGAAAAATATCGCACTGTGTCCTAGACAGGACACAGTGTGAAAGTTACAAAAGAATGACCTCAGCACATGAAAGAGCAACATACTGATGACATCATGATACATTTATGCATGAGGAGGCCAACAAGGGCAATGAGTTGTCTGAAGAAACTGCCAGAGAGTTCCATAGTCCTGATAAAGATGGCACAGTGTTTATCATCCGGCTCAACTCTGACACAGATCCACAGATGTCCTCGGGAGGGGAGTGGTAGGAGGGGGGCGGAGCTTCTTGTTTACATAAACAACCAGGAGAAGTTTGAGATAACTGGCCAATTTAAGGCCGAGTAGGGAAGCCAAATAAAAAAAAAACAATTATTTGAGTCAGGCAGCCTCTGCTTGAATTTCCACGTCTGTCTTCATAGTTCTGCTGGTACGTCTCACTGGCGATTTCAAACAGCCAAATTTTGTGGTTACACCGCTGGACCGAGCTTGTAGCCTTCTCCAAGGTCAGTCCCTTCCTGCCAGTGAGTCCCAGTAGCTGCAAGTGGCCTGCGATTCTCAGAAATTGCGCCCAGCTTACAGCTCAGCTCATGCAGCGTTTGAGTCTGAGAGATTACTGCTTGATACCTTCCTTCATACAAGGCAGGCAGCCTTAGAATTGCCAGAACCGCTGCCTCTGTCTTCTGAATTTGTCGATATGCCAGATACCTGCCAACACCAAAGAGCAGAAATCCAATTATCATAAATCCAATTATGCACTGGTCTTCTATGTCCTCAACGGACAATGCCGACAGACACCATCTTCCACTGGCCCCAGGAATCCATAGTGTATCCAGCTGCAAGTGTCCTTTCAGGGCATGAGGGCTCTACTTTGCCCTGTCTTCTCATTGAGAAAATTTTATCAATTGTGTTGAGAGACCAGCTGACCAGATCCATAATTTACAATTCGGAGTATATGTAGTAAGGACCTTCGATAGGAATCCCAGGACAAAGAGCAAAGCAGGAGGGAGGCAGGAGCAGGAGGAAAAGTGTCCATCCTCGACAAAGCAGCTCAAAAAATACTTCAGTCTGAGGGGCTGCAGGGGGCCAGTCTTAAAAACAGCACCTTTATCCACCATAGTGGATCAGCCAGTTTACTAGTGACATCCAAAAAAAGGATGACAGTTTGACAGTTAAACACAATGATCACAGCCAAATATCAGCCATCCGCAACAACAAAATGTCAGAATTTAATGGAGAACAGCTCAGGATCAAAGTTTCATCCTTCCTCAGCGATGCCGAACCACCACCTTCCAACATCAGCAGAGAGGATAGGGACGCACTCACCACTCTTAGCAAGAACAAAAACATCATCATTCTCCCAGCAGACAAAGGAAGGTGCACAGTGATTTTGAACCAGAAAGACTATCATGAGAAAGTTGACACTCCTTAGTGACTTAACCACTTATGAACCTCTGAAAAGAGATCCAGGAAGTGGTTACAAGAAGAAGTTAATAGATTGCCTGAAAATTTTGGAGCAGGACAAGGCTATTGACCGTTTTCTGTACCACAGACTGTACCCAGGGGAGGCCACACCTAGTCTGTATGGTTTACCTAAAATCCACAAACAAGTTGTACCTTTAAGACCAATTGTTAGCATGATTAACTCTGTCACTTACAATGTTTCCAAATATCTGGCGTCTGTACTCATCCCTTTAGTTGGCAGCTCAGAACACCACATACAGAACACCATGGACTTTGTGGATAAGGTGAGGGATGTCATCATGGAGACTGATGAAACAATGGTCTCTTTTGATGTCACATCACTCTTTACGTGCATTCCTGTTGATGATGCAGTAGAGGTGGTCAGTTTAAGATTAAAATCAGACACCACTCTGAGCAGCAGGACCACGCTTTCCACAGAACAACTGTGTCAACTCTTGAAACTGTGCCTACAGTCAACCTACTTCACATATGGGGAGCAATATTATAGGCAGAAACATGGGTGTGCTATGGGGTCTCCAGTTTCTCCTATTGTTGCCAACCTGTACATGGAGGAGGTAGAAAAGAGAGCCTTGACGTCCTTTTCAGGGACACCACCAAGTCATTGGTTCAGGTATGTTGACGACACCTGGGTTAAAATTAAATCTCAGGAAGTCCAACATTTTACTGACCACATCAACTCTGTGGATAAATACATCAAGTTCACACGAGAAGATGTAAAAAATGGCAGGTTGGCTTTCTTGGACTGTGAGGTCTCAGTCTCTGATAGAGGACATTTTCAAACTGAGGTGTACCACAAACCCACCCACACAGACCAGTATTTGCAGTTTGACTCCCATCACCCTTTGGAGCACAAGTTAGGAGTCATCAGGACTCTGTATCACAGAGCAGACAGCGTCCCCACTAGCTCAGGAGCCAGGCAGAAGGAGAAATCCTACACAAGACAGGCTCTAGAGCAATGTGGATATCCTAACTGGGCCTTCCTGAAAGCAGAGAAGAAACCCAAACAGGACTCCAGTCAGCCAACAGGTGAAAAGGAGGAACCCAGACCCAGACCAGTGGTCACTCTTTCAGGGATGAAGATGTTCACATCCTGGACAGAGAGGAACAATGGTTTGAGAGAGGAGTAAATGAGGCCATCTTTGTGAAAAGAAATCGTCCATCATTAAACAGGGGTAGATGATCATCTTCAGATGATTAACAAAAAAAATTTGTTTAAATTCTACCTACCTAATTCTATTACACACCGATTCATTTTAAATGTTGTTACAGGTAATTAAAAATGTAAATCCACAACAAATCCACAAATCATAAAAGTAAAACAATCAAACAAGCTAGTAAGCTGCAAAAAGGATCTAAACTAAATTTGTGTCTTTGTCCATCTCTAGTTGAAAGTTCTCCGTGTTCAGATCACTTGTATCACTCTGCCGAGCTGGCAGTGATGGGTTAGACTCTAAAATTACTGGATATCATCGTGGCACTACTTAGACCAAAGTACTTGAGGGTAACTCAAGCACCGCTGCATTAAGGACTGGCATGCTGGTCCACACTTCTTTAACCCCAGCAGTTAGCATCAGATCAGCCCTGGTCTGAAATGTAAAACCAGTCGTGGCTATTTGATGGACTCCTTGTAATCAGCTTAGTGAAGAATGTGCTGAATAAATAATGAGGCTCCAAATTCCTCAGCTGCCACACGTCTCTGTCCTGTATTTGACTTGGCAATTAGTCACATCATTGATTTAAAAACATGTCTTGTTGCCTTTTTGAATACTTCTAAAAATAATACTAAGACTTTGAATAGTCTTTGGTCGTTCTTTTACACAACAGCCCTCGCTCCCTCTCTAACCGAAGGTCCCATGGTCTCATCAGAGAAGAGATTTTTTGGGGAACCCCCTGCGAATGTGTGAAATGTTTCGCAAGTGCGAAGTCACACATATGCACTACTGCTGTCGGAAGTTGTTTTTCTGCACTTTATATAACTTTATTATAACAACAGTTGACAATAAATGGCAGAGAGCAGTATTTTTTGTGCTACTCACCCTTTTGCATGCAAAACTAATAAAATCCAGGGTCCAAAGAGAAGTTGGTGTATTCACCAGTTTGGACGTTCTGTGATCATGCAGATGCTGAAAGCGCAATGAGTAGGGATGCACGATATTATCGGCATGGTATCGGTATCGGCCGATATTGGTGTTAAAGTTCAATATCGGACATTCCATCAAAATAACTCACCGATGTAAAATACACTTTTTTTGTATGACAACCCAGTGACAAGGATGCCTGCAGTGGCAGCAAAACATGATGACGTCACACCACCTACCTGATCTCACGGCGGAGAAGAAGAAGTCAAAATGTCGGCTTTTTTTTCGTTGAGAATGTCGGATTCCGTAGATTTTTGGACTCCATTGAGCCTCGCTACATCGTCCCCAGTCGGAGATATTTTTCAGACGTAGCCTTACCCGAGTTACAAGCAGTCAGTGAGAAGCTAATAGCCGATAGCACTTGGGTGAGTTTTACTACAGATATTTGGACGCCGTGTTAGCCCCGTTAGCATGATTAGTCTTACGGCACAATGGATAGACAAAAACTTTGAACTTAAAAAGTCTGTCCTTCATGCACAGGAGTGCAGATGATCCCACACTGCAACTATAGGAACCTGGAACAAGCTCCACAAGTGAGACAGCATCGCAGGTGACTAATGCTAATAAATAACATTTAACACTTTTCATTTAATATAAGTTAAAGTGCTATGCATATCATATGGCTGTTAGTGAATATATGTCACCAGCTCTTACAGCTGTTCCACAGTTTTTGTAGCGAATATGCCTAAATAAGAGAGCTATGCTCTGACAAAGGAAAGTATGTAAAAAATATCGGTATCGGTCATCGGCCAAATAAGTTTTAACATATTGGATATTGGACAGAAATCCAATATTGTGCGTCCCTAGCAATAAGAATTGCCAGATAAATTTAAAATGTCTTATTTACCCCTCCTTTTCTGTGCACATGTTCAACAAACACAACACTCACCTTATAATCAGGTCTCTCTTGTAAATGAGTCCTCGAGGCTTAGTGGGATTTACCTGTCTAAATAAAGGTTGAATGAATTTTAGAATATCTTTACTCAGCACATATGACAGTTTAAGTCAAAATACTTTCATTTTAAAGCAACTGTACTATAGTTCATAATTTCTTATCTGGCAACCCGACGGACATGGAAACTACAGCGTTTTCAGGTAAACCCGCTCTTTTTTGTTTATTACTTCCAATAAACATTGAAAAAACACGTTTCCTTTTTTTTTTGTTTTTTCCCCAGATTTTTACATCTACATTTCAAGTTACAAATCTTAAGAACAGACACATATCAGTATACTTTAACTCAAGCATTGATAAATTTCACATTTCCGAGTCTGCGTAGATTTGCACTTAATCATTTCCTTCTGTCTATTTCCTGGTTTTATATACAATAACATGAAAGAAACGTGTTGAAACGAGAAAAAAAGAAGAGAATATATAAATAAATAAATAATAATAATAATAAATAATAATAATAGAGGAGAACAAAGCCAGAGAGTAGAACAAGAACAGGAGTAGCATTATATGACATTTTAGATCCATAAAAGTGTAGACTGGATCAATGAATCTTAGTTATAAAGAATAAGCTACGGTCTTGTGGCATTCTTTCTAAATGATTTACTATTTTCTCTCCAGCTTCTTAAATTATTCCTGGCATAGATTGTTTGATATATTTTTCCCATTTATTCCAATGTTTGAAAAATAATTTTATCTGTAAGTTAACTGTGAATGTTATTTTTTCCATTTTGTAGATTTCTGTCACAATCTGCGCCCAGTCTCGAGTGGTTGGTTCATTCTGTATCATCCACTTTTTTGTAATTGCCTTCTTTCCCTCCGCTACTAGTATATCCCAAAGGTATCCATTTATTGATTCCATTGTGTGGGTTTTACATCCCAGGAACAGGGTTTTTGAAGTTTAATGGAATGTTGATATGAAAGACGTGGTTCACTGCATCATTTATATCTCTCCAATATCCTCTGACATTATGGCATTCCCAGAAAATATGGTAATGATGCGCTTTCTGACATCCACAATTTCTCCAGCATTGGCTATTTCCTTGTGAGAAATGGGCGCTTTGATGCGGTGTGATAAAAAAAACGTGATCTACTTTTCCCAACAGAATTCTTCCCAAATATGTGATTTTGTACACCTCCGTTGTGATGTACATATTTGTTCCCATTCTTTGTCAGTTATATCAAGACCGGCTTCCTTTTCCTATTTGTCTTTAATATATTGCGTTGAGTGGGTATTAAAGTTTGATATAATCTTATATATTTTTGAGATTAATCCACCTGACAGTTTTGATTCGTAAGTTTTTATTATTAGTTCAGTCAGTGGATTATATTGCTTAGTGTTTTGTTTGATTTCCTGGATATAATAATGTCTTATTTGTAGATGTCTGTAAAAATCTTCTTTTTCTAAATTGAAACTTTCTTCTTAAAGCTTTCCAGCTCATTATTGTTAATAATCTGGATAAAGACTTTTATACCTTTTGTTATCCAAGTCTTAAATCTGGAGTCCATGCTATTTGATAAAAAAAAACTTGTCATATGCTAACCAGTTTAAAACCCCGATTTCTTTATTTAGTTTATTTGTTTTTACAACTTCTTTCCATGTTATTAGTGCTGATTTAACCCATTCTTTTTCCAATTCATCCATCAACTCAAGCCGTTTAGTGTCTGCTATAATCGCTTGTATAGGGAAATCTGTGAACATACTTTCTATCTCCTTCCATTTTGCTTCATACGCAGGGTCACACCAATAAAGTAGAGTTCTAATTTGGGCTGAAATGAAATAATTTTTGAGACTAGGGAGGCCCCATCCACCTTCCTCCTTTGATAACTGTAACGTTTTGTAACGTATACGGGGTCTCCTTCCTTTCCATATGAATCTGGACATTGCCTTGTCCCAATCCATAAAATAGTGGTTTGGGATCATTGTTGGCAGAGTTTGGAAAAGATAAAGAAATCTTGGTATAACGTTCATCTTTATGGTTTCTATTCTTGATGTTAAGCTTAGATGAGGTATATGATTCCATTTTTCCAGGTCTTTTTTAACATTTGCATAAAGGTGATTGTAATTTTTGTCCATAATTTTAGTTACGTCTTTATGAAGTATTACTCCTAAATATCTAAAAGATTCTGTATTCCATTTAAAAGGGTATTTCTTTTTTTAATCTTTAGGTGGACACCAATAGGAGAGGGTTTCTGTTTTTTCAATGTTTAATTTGTAGCTGGATATTGGGTCAATTGTTTCTAAACTGTGCATCAATTCTGGTAATGAGTTTTCTGGGTCGGCTAAAAATAAAATGATGTCATCTGCGTAGCATGCAATTTTGTGTTCCTTTCTATTAATTGTTATTCCTCTTAATTGTTTTTGTCTAATATGCTGGGCTAGTGGTTCCAAATATAGGGCAAAGAGTAGAGGGGACCAGGCACACCTGTCTTACTCCTCTCTCAAGCATAAGTGAGTCTGTTAAATAACCGTTTATCTTTATTTTAGAGGTTGGGTTATTATAAAGCTCCTTGACACTTTTTATTTTTAAGTCACTTATTTGAAATTTCTTTAGCACTTTAAACAGGTAGGACCAGTTAACTGAGTCAAAAGCCTTTTCGGCATAATAAGAAAAAACACGTTTCCAAGTTCTTGTGAAAACGGGACCTAAAGTTGTTTTCTCTCTTTTTACATAAATGGCTTCCTTCACCCCCCTCTCAAACCATCTGTCTTCTCGGTCCAAAATGTGAACACTTTGGTCCTGAAAAGAGTGTCCCTTATCCTTGAGGTAGGTGAACAGCTGAGTCTTGTTGGCTCTCCTGTGATGAGCCATGCGTCTGTGAAGAAGCTGTTCACTGGGCTGAACTGCAGACACCACACCACTCGCTTTGTGTTTGGGTGTTTTGTCCGTAGGGTGAGAAGCGAAACGTCTTCCATCTACAGAATAAAAGTCCAGTCTTTTTTGTCTTTAACCTTTTTTTGGATTTACCATATCCTGGATGACAGAATCTTCACCAGCCCTTGACGTTTATTGCTTCTGCTCTTCTTTTTGTCTTTGTGTCCACTCAGGCCGGAGAAGGAGCCCCAGTTTAAGTTCATCTACTTTAACCACATGAACCTGGCAGAGAAGAGCACCATTCATATGAGAAAAACTGCCACCGTTTGTCTCACTTCTGTCCATTCTGACCTCATGAAGATTCTGGGAGACATCAACTGTGACTTTGCCAGGTACGGTGTAGCGCTCTGGCCTTGTGGACAAAGCCTCCTGGCAGAGTCTGTTTTGTGCCAGTGATCGTGGTCCCAAGTGAAACTGTGGATGAAACTTGTCTTACAGACTGCATTTTCAGATCTCACATCCAGACAAGAAAATATGTCCAACTAGAACATTTCTTATCATCTTATATGGGTTTCAGGACAGCTCTTTCATTTTAAGACACTAATAAACACTCACTCTGGAGCATATTTTAGAACAATACAATTTACAGAGCTCCTAAAACAGCACAAGGCGCAAAGAAGACCTTGCCATATTTACCAAAACTGCCTGTGTGGACAGAACCTAAAATGATTTTTGTAAACTCACTTTCTCTCAGTCATGAGATTGGAGTAATGTGAAAGTCCCTCTTTTCTGTCTGTGGAGCACAGACGTCTGTAGTGTACATTTCAGTAACGGGATCAGTTCCTCTTTTTGTGCCGGTGGCGCTTTATGTCTTAACCCGCTCCAATTATTATGCAAGTGTGAAAGCTGCTTTTTTTAAACTGGTGCTTAGTTCTTTTCTGTCTCCCAGGGTTGATGAAGATGAGGAAATCATCGTAAAAGCCATGACAGACTACTGGGTAGTTGGCAAGAAGTCAGATCAGAGGGAGCTGTACGTGATCCTAAATCAAAAGAATGCCAATCTGATTGAAGTTAACGGTATGTTTCCTCCATCGTCCATACATTTGTCTCATTTTTGCCAGAATAGTCATAAACTCCACCTCACCCATTCCTTTGTTGTCTTTTTTTTCCCCCATTGCAGAGGAAGTTAAGAGGCTTTGTGCAACACAGTTTAACAACATATTCTTCTTGGACTGAGCGGACAGAGACTGTTCACACAAAAAAAACTGTCAACATCGCAGGATTTCAGTGACAGCATCAGCGTAATGCAATTATTGCATTGTATAATAAACAATAATATTGAAAAGCTTTCTCACCAAGTTGTTTTTTGTTAATTTAACCCACAAACTGTAATATTTTTCTTGTAATTAACTGTAAAAAAAAAATACAGATTTGCTTGTACGTGTACTGTATTTGTTTATATTTTTCTTTGTTTTGTTTTTTTCTGTCTTTTTTTAAAAGATCACATGACCACAGTGTCTCAGAGAATTTATTTGGTTTCATTTAATGATCAGTGATAGTTTTACGATGTCAACATGTCAGACATATTGTAGTTTGAAAACAACTGCACTAACTTTGAATAAATCGAAAAGTTGTTTATCTTTGTGTATAAAAAGTATATTTTAACAAGGTTCAGATGAAAGATTTGGAAAATCTACAAAACTGTTTGTGTCGTTGAAACTCTTCTACATTTACTGATTACAGGAATATCTTTACATAAGTGAGGCTCTGTTTGATGTCTCCATTAAGTTTAAAATGTCCTAAAAGGGTTCCTGACTGAGGCTGTCCTTGATTTAGCTGTACAAAAATAGTGACACATTAGTTAACGTGGAAATATTTTCTATAAGAAGTTTCCCATATCTGGATCAAGACCCAGTCGGGAGTCACCTGATGCAAAATGTATTTTGATAAATTGTGTTTTCAGTTTGTTTCATCCAATCTTAAGAATATTTTCTTTGTTTTAATTAGGGTTTATTTAGTTAAGCCCACAGTTTAAAACCCAAATTCATTCATATTTTAAATTATGTAGATGCACTGTACTGATATAGCACCCTTCTATCTTATCAAGATAAAGCACTTTACATGACAATCTGCGTGTGTGTTACCCCCAACTCTCCCATTGGAGGACGACTGCTCTAACTACTCAGCCACAGCTACTGAATAATGTGTAAGGTTTCATATATATAGATATATATATTATATGTATATATATATATATATATACACAAACCGGATTCCAAAAAAGTTGGGACACTAAACAAATTGTGAATAAAAACTGAATGCAATGATGTGGAGATGGCAAATGTCAATATTTTATTCGTAATATAACATAGATGACAGATCAAAAGTTTAATCTGAGTAAATGTAACATTTCAAAGGAAAAATATGTTGATTCAAAATTTCAGTGTCAACAAATCCCAAAAAAGTTGGGACAAGTAGCAATAAGTGACTGGAAAAAGGAAACTGGGCATATAATGAACAGCTGGAAGACCAATTAACACTAATTAGGTCAATTGACAACATGATTGGGTATAAAAAGAGCTTCTCAGAGTGTCAGTGTCTCTCAGAAGCCAAGATGGTAAGAGGATCACCAATCCCACCATTGTTGCACAGAAAGATAGTGCAGCAATACCAGAATGGTGTTACCCAGCGTAAAATAGCAAAGACTTTTTTAAGTTATCATCATCAACCGTGCATAACATCATCAAAAGATTCAGAGAATCTGGAACAATCGCTGTGCGTAAGGGTCAAGGCCGTAAAACTCTACTGGATGCTCGTGATCTCCGGGTCCTTAAACGTCACTGCACCTCAAACAGGAATACCACTGTCAAGGAAATAACAGAATGGGCTCAGGAATACTTCCAGAAAGCATTGTCAATGAACACAATCCACCGTGCCATCCGCCGTTGCCAGCTGAAACTCTACAGTGCAAAGAGGAAGTCATTTATAAGCAAGCTCCACAAGCTCAGACGTTTGCACTGGGCCAGGGGTCATTTAAAATGGAGTGTGGCAAAATGGAAGACTGTTCTGTGGTCAGACGAGTCACGATTTGAAGTTCTTTATGGAACACTGGGACGCCATGTCATCCGGACCAAAGTAAGTAAGTAAAACTTTATTTATATAGCGCTTCTCAAGATAAAAATTACAAAACGCTTAGAGAGGACAAGGATAGCCCAAATTGTTATCAACGCTCCGTTCAGAAGCCTGCATCACTGATGGTATAGGGTTGCATGAGTGCTTGTGGCATGGGCAGCTTGCATGTCTGGAAAGGCACCATTAATGCAGAGAACTATGTTCAGGTTCTAGAACAACATATGGTCCCATCTAGACGTCATCTCTTTCAGGGAAGACCCTGCATTTTTCAACAGGATAATGCCAGACCACATTCTGCAGCAATCACAACATCATGGCTACGTAGGAAAAGGATCAGCTCGAGCTCAGTGAGGTTGGATGGAGAGCATTTTTGAACAGCAGTCTTCAGCTCTTTCCACAGATTCTCGTGTAGTGAGACACGTGAGGTACGTGTCACTTGTTGTATGACAAATATATGGATATATATTTATGCATACTTTTCACGAGTTCTTCATTTTTCTGACTGTAAATGTCGTGCATTGAATTTAACAGAAAGGTAACGAGAGACGTTATTTATCTTTGACCCATCAAATGAATGGAATCATTTATTTTCAGAATCAAAGTTTAACATCAAACATTTACATTAATTTGGCAAAATATGAAAATAATAACAGACAGTTTCACAGAAAATGAACTTCAAATCACTCGGCGGTGATTTGAGGACTTTGCTTAAGATATTTCTAAAATATCTGTACTGATTTATGAGAGAGAGGTGGGTTTTAGAGTGAAAGGAGATTATCTTACAGAGAACTGTGTGAGGGAAGTTTAATCTGTTTAACCAGAAATTGCACGCTCCGTCAGATCCTCAGCCCGTCCACGGTACACTTTAGTCGAAGAAGAAGCCTTTACCTGGTTTGACGATAGATCAGCTCAGTAAGCATCCTTCAGACTGTTTCCAGCGCCTCCGTTAAGCACAGCTAAAAATCCTCGGAGAGTCGTGCGTGGTTAGCTCAAAACAGACTTATAATCCCAAACGTCCCTGGTTCTTCATAACTCCAAACTCTTCATAACCGGTTGCACTCTCAATCTGCTCATTCTGTTGGACTATCGGACCTGTTGTCAGCTCTCATTCCAACATCTCTCAGAACTCTCATTCTCTTGGAATTCTGGAATCCATAATTCTCTATTCCTTCTCTTCTCTATACTATGAACTGAGAAGTTGCCACATTTTATTTGGGTCGACTTCCTGTTCAATTTAGAGCTTTCTGATTCGTGGAAGGACCAGAAAGAGGAGTGGATTTGTGACGTAAGATGTTATCATAAGTCAAGGATTGTTTACAACATACAGAAAAGATTATTGCAGCAACAGCAGACTTCGTGGAGTCTCACACTTTGTAATCTTCTCAAATAGTAAAACATGACATTTTTCTCGGTAAACATTTTAGTTGACCGAAAACCAACCTTTAACATACTTACGACAGCTTGCTCATTTCAGACAGAAAATCAAGAAAGGCATATTCAGGTGATTTCTTCTCTGAATGAGGAACAAAAATCATTACTTACTGTTTATGTAAAAATAAAAATTAGTAGTTCTTTTCAACCTGTAAAGCATTGAGTGAACTAACACAATTTGATTATCAAAACATTTGTAAGACAGTAATGATTATAAAGAATTGTCTTTTCTGCTTGATTAATTCAAGAAAGAAAGTTCATCAGATGGTTCAGACTTATTCAGATCAATGAAAATAACAGTCTCTGTCCATCTGGTAGATTTGAGGTTATCTGGTTCACTACAGTCCCCCCTTTGGAAATCATCACCTGTCCATGGGGATGAATTCCAACCGTGAACTTAGACCTTCAAATGTCCTTGAGCTTGATGTAATCCAGCAAGGAAGACCAAAGTCAGAAGTAATCCAGCAAGGAAGACCAAAGTCAGAAGTAATCCAGCAAGGAAACAAAGTCAAGGTAATCCCACAATGTTCTTGGTATTCCATTGTGTTGATTATAATCCCATATCGTCTCGATAATTCCATTGTAGCAATGCCTTAACCCCTTGGAAACAGAGTCTGTAATCCATTGGAAAAAGTCATATAATCCACAACGGTAAATCCACAGCGATTGGAAGTGTTGATTAATCAGCATACAGAGGGGTGCCCTTGGATTGAACTGAAGAAGCGGCCACTGGATGAAGAGTTGAGACCAACGTCAGGATTGCAGGTCGCCTCCAGCGAAGGTTGTCTCCAGCGACGTCCAGCCTGTGCCGTTCTGGTTCAATGTGTCATGCAATTATGTGGTTTAAGGTGGGCTTATGAAGGGGAATTTACATAAGGCCTTAAACTATATGCATCTGGTGTGTAAGCTATTATGGTTGGGAACAGCTACAACTACCAGTTAAGGGGTGGAGAATGCTGATAGGGGGTACTACAGGGGTTTATGCCTATAGAAAAGTGTTCCAAACTATTTTTCCATTTCTAACTCGGTTTAAGTTAGCTTTACATGGTAAAATATAGTTTGGTGTAATTGTCTGTTGTCTTTTAGACGAACGACTTGAGATTGGGTGTTTGGTTTTCCCATAAATGTTTTGGAAGTCTATGGCGAGACTTATCAAAAAGAATTAGCTATCCCCCCGAATAGAATTGTTCGAGTAGGTTCGGCTTAAGCGTTGTGAGATCAATGTAGATTATGGTACTCAAGGTAGCAATAATATACATTGACTCCGCAAAGATTGCAATTTAGTGAATGAACTGCATGTTGGCATGGTTAAAGGCTTCTTAGTCTCTAACTTACTACACAACAAAATTCATTCTTACCTCAGAAACAACCAAAATCAATTAAACAACGTTCCAACACCGACAAGAGTAGTGACTAAGCATCTAGAAACATCGTTTCACAGCTTCTCCTCACCCTGGTTGCCAGATTTCAGTCACGCTGTCCCGTTTTATCAAGGGTAGGTCCTGTGAGTTTAAACTATGGTTAATTTTATTATCCATTAGTTATCTTCTACAGGGATGACCCTTGTTCCCACGAGGTCAGATTTTGTGATGTCATTGTCTCCTAAGGAGTTATTGCATGCCTTGTGTTGTTTAACCTGGTTACGGTGTACCCATTTAACAGTTGGCTCTTTTTGGCCTTTACTGATTTTTATCTGGTAGATAATTGGAGACACTTTGTCAGTTATCAGATGGGGTCCAGTCCATCTGGGCATCAGCTTACGGGCGAGAGTTCCGGTCCCGG